TACTTGTTTTATTTTGTTTGAGACAGTATCTCAGTATCTAGCCCTGGCTAGCCTTTAAAACTAAGAATGTAGACCAGGCTGGCCTTGAACCTACAGAAATCTACCTGCTTCCACCTCCTAGGTACTAGGATTAAAGGCATGTGCCACGCCAGCTCTGCTTCGTGTTTTTTGAGGGTTTTTGGTTTTTGATTTTTGTTTGTTTTTTACAATCTTGGAATTGCCCATGTATATCTGTGTGCACATCAAAGGACAACTTTCCTGAGTCTGTTTTCTCTATCTACCAGGATCTCAGAATCGAATGTTAAACCCACTGATTGAAAATGAGACCACTTCCACAGTTTAAAGCCAAATTTTAATTTCATTGGTAGGTTTCTGTGTGTGTGTGTGTGTGTGTGTGTGTGTGTGTGTGTGTGTGTGTGTGTGGTAGTTTTGTTTTGTTTGTTCATTGTTGTTTTTCCAGTAGCCCTGGACCTGGGGTTACTGATATTTGTGAGCTATATTGGCCAGGTATATCTCTGGGTTTCCAAAAGATGGCCCCAGAGTCATGGTTTACAGCGGCTTAAGTATTCCCCTCAGGTACAATCAGCGCCAAGCATACATCCTTATGTCCTTCCAGCCTATATCCAGTTAAGAGCAAGCATACATCCTGATGTATTTCCTGCCTGTGAACCTCCCACCCGCAGGTGATCAAGCACATCGGTCAAACTCGGTTGTTTAGGGGAGTGAAAACATGTGATTTGTTGTCTCCCATAAACAACAGCCTCCAGCATTGCAGGAATTATCTGTCCTTGGACAAGGAGACTGCAGATCAGAGGCAAAGTAATTAAAACTTAAAATGTAACTTTGGCTTTCACAGGAACTCATACTTTTTAAGGATCTGCTTCTATTGCTTATTCCATATTGATGAACTTTGAGCCCTTTTTTTTTTTTTTTTTTTTTTTTTGCTGTGGTGATGAATTTATTTGAATGTATGCTGCTTGGGAATAAGGATTTTTGTCCTGCTCTATATTTAATCCTTAGAATTTAGTATAATATGCTAGCTAATTTTATGGCAAACTGACATAGGTTAGAGTCATTTGAAAGGAGGGAACCTCAACTGGAAAACATACTTCCTTAAGATCAGGCTATAGGCAAGCCTATAGAACATTTTCTTAGTGATCTATGGGGAAGGGCTGAGTCCATGGGGGGCAAGTCATCCATCCCTAGGGTAGTAGTCCTGGGTTCTATAAAAATCAGGACGTGGAAGCCAATAAGCCACATCCTCCATGGCTTCTGCATAAACTTCTGCCTCCAGGTTCATGCCCAGTTTGAGCTCCTGTCCTGACTTCATTTAATGATGAACAAAAATAGTAGAGGGCACAGGATCCTATGCTCACAGATGAGCACTAGGAAAATCAAGAGAGGTACACCTTGTTTTCCACCCAGATGTCTGGAAGTGGATGCTATCTGTAGAGCCAGACCACACCTGAACCCCCAGACTATTATCTTTATCGCAGACTCTTCCTCCCTAGACATTTATCTTTAGCTTTGTTTCTCAGTCAATAGAACCCATCCTTACTGAAGAAGAAGAGATGTCACAGGTACATTGTAGTTTGGTAACCTCTATGATGACTTAGATCACACCTGATCCTCCCATGGAGCCTTAAGCAATAGAAACCATCCTTACTGAAGAAGTCACATTTTTTTTTTTTTTTTTTTTAACAAAAGAGTATCACTGTAGACACCTAAGCTTTATTGTGATAATTGTCACCAGGAAATGTTTCCCAATGTTGTACTGTACTTACATGTAAGTAAAATATATAACTAAAATAAACTGCCCAGGGTCAGATTCAAATTTGAACCAAAAGAGGCTAAGTTGTGTTGAACTGGATTTCCTTCTTGCCTCACAAGGATGGCCACTCTGCACACCCTGGTGTTTACAGAGACCCCCACAGAAGTGTAAACTGAATAGGCCCTTTCCTCACCAACTTGCTTTTGGTTCTGGTATTTCATCACAGCAATAGAAACCCTAACTAAGACAAATATCTAAAAGATGTTCTTGAATGAATTGCAAACTTTGAAGTATTGCCACACAACAGCTTTTCACTCAACTATAAGCAAATACTAGATGCCTTTTGGTGAAGTGATTTCTCTTTTAGGTGCTTATCCAGTGTTTAAAATACAGATACAATGAGAGAAACTAAGTTATTATGTTTATTTTAAATGTTATTCTAAATTTTTTCACCAAATTTAGATACTGAATGGTTGATAAATTTAGCACAATACTGTATATATAGTGGCATTAGAAAATATAAGTCAAAGGACTTACATTTAAGTGAGGGAAATATGGTTTTATAATGATATATAAATCTGTGTCGAATGATCAGCTGCTGAGGGTACAAGTTAGTCACAGAGTACACTTTGCATGCATGAGGGATCAATCCCTGACACTGCAGATAAACTAAAGGGCAGGAGAAAACAAGGTCTCAAAAAAGACATGGGCTTGAAAGTAAGTGACCCATGGTCATTATCATTATTAACAGTTACTGAGTGTCTACCACATGCTGGGCAACACAGTAAGAACTTTGTTCCCTTTAACCACCACACTCATAACCTATGTGGGGATTCCTAGTTAATAGATAAAGTTGAAACACAGAAATGTTAATGCCTTAAGTCACATAGCTAATAAACGACTGAACTAGAATCAGGCAAGTCCAAGTCCAGAGCCCTTTTTTAAAAGCTACGAGATTCCATGGCAAAAGGCTTTGAAGGAGCAGATGCTAAAGCACGCATGCAATGTTGTTTTGAAAGAGCATGCAGGGTAGCTCTAAGCACTGCAGGGGCCTGGTTGCCCGGCAGTGAGAAGGCAGATAGGAGAGAATATCCAAAGTCAAACCAAGTACAACTCTGACTGATGTACATGTTTCCCGTCTCTAACAGTGTCATTCTGAGATGATGCTGGTATGGTGATAGTTTCTGGTTTGGGTGTTTTATTCCCCCCAAGAACTTGAGGGCTTTTTATCCTTTCAGAGACTAGCCTTCACTTTTGTCTCCAGAGGCTGATGTTCTAGTGCTCACCAGATGACAGCCTTCCTTTAATACAGTATCAGTCAGGAAGCCCAAGACATTTGTCCCATTTGCCAATTTTCATTTATCAGGCTTTATGGATACGTACCTGAGACATACAAAAAAGTGTTTAATCACAGAGAATTCCTTTAATAACTAATAAATCTACACATATAAATTTATTTACAATCTCAGATAGAGGCATCATACCTTTCTCTTTGGTTTTTTAAGACAGGGTTTGTACAGAAAGGCCCATGAGGGCCTTGAATGAAAAAAATGAATAAAAAGAAAAGGAACATGACTGCTCCTAGGTACAGTGGAGTAGAAAGTTTATTATAGAAAAAAAGGGAGAACATAGCTAGAAGCAGGGACATCTGGGAGAGTCCAGAGTGGACATGACCCTGAGTCATGTAAGAAGGGGGAGGAGAAGAGACAGTGGACAGAGAGGAACCAGGTACAGCAGCCAGGAGGTCCAAAGAAAGTAGACGAAAAAGGACCAGGTGACCAAAATGGTTGGATTGTATAGGGAAGGGCAGTCCAACCCCTCGGCTGGAGAAGTTTAGGGTAGGGGGCAGGGTATGCCAGCCAGAAGGACCCTGTAGCAGGTAGGGACTGAGGGTTGCTGGGAGAACCTGTTGGCCAGTATTCATTTTGATATGTTAAATAGATACCTAAACCATTAGTCCCAGGTTTGAAACCTAACAGGTCTCAAACTCATGATCCTCTGCCTCAAAGAAATACTAGGATTACAGGTGTGCACCCCAGGCTTGGCTCCTTTTTTATTTTTCCCCTTTTTTTTTTTTTTTTTTTTTTTTTTTTTTTTATCTGCTTGCCTCTGCTTCTTGGGTGCTGTGATTAAAGGTTTATGCCTCCATGCCTGGCTCCTAACTTTTTTTAAAAAACAGATTTCCTTTTCAAATTCAAATCACTAACTCTAACTATTAAAATAGAGACTATGATTCCAAATCATTCCTGAAGCAATTTTTGTCAAAGCACTAAACTGGCCTAAATTTTGATATTGTATGTAAGTTATTTCCAGGGTTTCTTTTTTCAGTTTGTTTTTATCCAATTTGACTAAATAATTATTAAATTATTTTTATTAACACTGTACTTTCAGTTTCCCACTAAATCTAATTTTTAGTACCTCCATTATAACTCGTGGCTTATCCCTTCCTGTCAAACCGGCATTTTCAGGTCAAAATTTGAAGATAAAAAATGTCAAGACTCCATTTTATTGCTACCTTTTCATCAATAATTGCCTGTTATTGGAAAGCAAAATATGGTAGTCAAAAAACAGATTGAAAATGAAAAAACCCACAAGGGATACCTTTAATCCCAGCACTCAGGAGGAAGAAGGCAGATCTCTGCGAGTTTGAGGCCAGCCTGGTCTACATAGTGATTTCCAGGACAGCCAAGGCTGTCTCTGTCTCGAAAAAAGAAAGAAAAAAAGAAAAAAGAAAAGAAAAACCCTTTACTCACTAAGTACTCCACAAAGCCAGCACATGGCTCCAGAAAATAACACCCATGTTTGCTCTAATAATAGCAATATAGCACAAAGAATAACTACCATCAAGGATATTTTTGTGTCTTCTCACTGTTTGTTCTAAAAATGTGAAAAAGGCTTTGGTTGGTTAGGCAAACACCAAAGCTATGCATAGTTTCATGGATGTAAAACAATGTTTGAGTACATCCCTGAGTCTTTGTTTTTGGTTTTATTTTTTTGTTTGTTTGTTTTCCTTCAAGGCAGGGTTTCTCTGTAGTTTTGTAGAACAGATTGGCCTTGAACTCACAGACATCAGCCTGACTCTACTTCCTAAATGCTGGGAGTAAAGGTGTGTGCCATCACCGCCTAATTTCTAATCATTATTAACTTCTTGCTGAAATGGTCACTGGAGGTCATGTTCAGGAAATCATTACTGGAAAAGAAAACAGTTAATAGCTAAAAAATTATCAAGTTACAAAGCACATCTCAAAAAACAGTTTATTGTGTTTGATACAAATTTTTAACAGTAGTAAAGCACTTCATCTATTCCCAAGTCTGAATCTAAATTATATAGACTAAAAACAGTTGTCAGAAAGTTACAGACTATCATGAAAGTATTAAGATACAAAAAGAAAGTAACAGGTGGTTTAAAAAAAAAAGTAGAATGTACTTCAATAAACCATTGAGCCAAAACTACTATAACTGATTCCCTATGAAGCCAAACTGGAAAGGGATTTCAAGACATAAGGAAAGGGTGACCTAACAGAAAACCTACACTTCTCTCTAGTGTTACAGGTAGAACCCAGGACCTCCCAGTTCATGCCAGGCAAGGTTTCTTCTAGTGAGTTCCATCACCATATCTTACTTTTAAAAGGTTAAGGTTAACTATACTTTTCCATCTAGTTTAATCTAAAAAGGAGAAATCAGAAAATGGCTACAAAAGAAACTCTGGAATCCTGAGACCATAACTTGAACTAAGTACTGTGTTGTCACATGAGTGGGCATCTACAGATGCAAGCCAGGGACCACTAAGAACACACCGAAGAAGCCTGGAAGCCAGTCAGGCTTATTCTACCATACCCACCATCCAAAAACATCCGAAAAGACCCATTCAGACCAAAGACTAGCAAAAATTACAGCTAATTGCCAATTAGTTATATATCAAATGTACTTATGCCCAGATCACCACTTATTTTCATATCACTTTAAATAGATCATATATCTCTATTCTAAAATTGGCACTATTAAATACAAGAAGAATTCCCAATTTAACCAAATATACCAACACATGGTAGCTGGGTGAGGTAACACATGTATATAATCTTAGCATTCAGGAGGCAAATACAAGTGAATCAGAAGTTCCAGGCGAGCCAGGGCCACATGAGACCCTAAAAAATAGAAATTAAAGAAATAGCTCTGAACTTAGAATTATCTGTTATGAAAATTAAATATGCCTTTCTCAGATTAAGAGTTACAAAAAAACATTCTATGCTGTTTCTGAAACTTGTAATTAAAAAGGGGTGAGTCACTTGATGTGCATACACACAAATGGGCCAATTTCAGTTTCTAGCCCTGTTTTTTAAGATTATAATTAGTTCCTCCAAAATCTAAATTTTAAAAGAACATTTAGTATTTCCAAGACATCTTTTTACCCATCATGTGTCTTCCAAAAATTGAGGATGCCATTTCCCTCAGGTTTCTAACTTTCTGAAAAGGAATGCCAAAAAGGTCATTATCATTTAATTGACATTTAAGACAACAAAAGTTTATTATTCCTCTTATTTAAGTACTTTTTCCCCCAGTGAAAATGCAGAACAGAGATTAAAGCAATTTGGTAACAACAGGACCTTGGATGTGCTTCATGGCTTATTTGATTGGTACCCATTTCTAAAATAACATTTCAGCTTCTTTGGGAGACCAGGAAATAAGTAAGTACATAGATTTATTGTCATACTTGGCTACACTGTGCATTGTCCTCCAGTTGGTAGCTAAGACTAAGGGATGTGTTGTGGGAGAAATAATCATTGTACTCCTTCTTAGACTGTAAAGTCTAAGAACTCTAAAATATGTCTGTCTCTCAAAAAAAAATGTTTGTTTTTAAATGCTGTTAGTAAAGAAGATAAAAAAGTTATTTTTCCTCCCAAAAGTTAAAAACAGCTTTCACAGTTGGTAATAATCCTACACAGCATTAAGACACTTTTGACAGGGGATGAGGTAGTGTGTTCCTGACTACAGGGCAGAAGTCAGCCTTGGGACCCAGCCAAGACAAGAGGGACAAATGCAGTGGTGATGCTCACTTTCAATCCTAGAGGTGGCGAGGGTTCCAGGCCAGGAGCAGCTACATAATTAGACCTCGTCTCAAAAAATTGTAATAATAATAATAAAAATAAAAAAGCAGCCATCGTCTTTAAGGTCTAAAAGAACAAATGCATAGTGTGTGAGGGAATCTGGTCATACCACGGAACCTCTCCTATGTGCAAGCCAGAAATAAACGGATTCATTCTAAGCCATTCATTAGCAATGGAATATAATCTACAGAATCAGTTCCTCTTATAACTACACCAGTTTCTATTTTTCCTGGGCAGTCTTGGTTTATTACCTATCCCACAATACCTTCTTAGTCGGAAAGTGCCCAAGTTTAGAAAATAACTACTTGTTCTAGCTGAACAAAACATTAGTCTGAATGAACACTTTTTTGCCAAGAGGAGTTTTAGGCATAAAGAACTTTCAGTTTTGAGAGAAAATGTCAGAAAACTGGAATAAAAGAGTCGCTTCAGTATTCAGAATACCTGACTCCAGTGGGGTTTTCAATAGGGCCACATTGGGAAAGCAGGTCATGGTGAGAAGGTCTTTGTGGTAGCAGTGGAAGTGAAGTCATCTGAGGAGGGGGCCCGCACTGCTCAGGCCAGTGTTGCAGGTTGCTCTACAAACCCTAACCCTCCTACTTAGCAGCTCAATTGTTTTGCTACAAGAGCCAAACATTCTCAAGAAGGCTTGAGTGTTTCAGTTTAGGAAATACACCTCCATGACAGCGGGCCTTGATTGTAGCAGGTGCTGGCTTAAGAGGGCAACAAGAGAATCAAGTTCCTAGAAAGGAGCTTCTCTCTGAAGCCTAAGATAGTCTGAAAAGTCAGAGGGTAACAGAAGCTCATGATTTTTCAGAAAATCTAAAATGAAACTAAACAAAGCTTCATCTCTGTCCACAAAAATCTGGCCATCAATTGTCTTGAACTCTTGGTCTCTGCCATCTAACATGCCTACCAACCGAGAGGTAGGGAACTGCTTTACTGTAGAGTCTTGTTGTATCTTCCCTCCCACATTCAGAGTGACCAGGTCCTGACCGTTCACACTCCCTCGTTTCTCATAGAGGCTACAAACCATTAATACAGACATATAGAAACCCTCTAACTCAACCTGCTACTATAAATATTTTATATGATTAAGAAATAAGGAAGTAGAGATAGAAAACTAAATCTAAATTCCAAGGTAACTATTGTCAAGACAAATAGTGTATCCATAGCTATGTTTGCAAATGTGAGTTGCTTAGGAACTGAACTTGCAGTGTATAAAATGGAAACAGCAAGTGAAACAGAATGTCAATATCATGATATCAAATAGATCCCTTTCTTGTAATCCACTAAAAGTAAAACCAGGAAGGAAAAAAAGAAAGAAAGAAAGAAAGAAAACCCCTTTTGTAATAGGAATGTGGTCCAGCGGTTCAGCAGTAGAGTATTCCCTAATGTATGTGAGGCACTGAGTTCTGTCTCCAGCACTGAAGAAATCATTCTCCATGAAACCCTAACGTAAATCCGTATTTCAAACAGAAAACCACTCTCTCCACAAACATTTACCAAGCCCTCGTGGCTGATGAAAGACTTATAGAAAACATGATTTGTTTCTAGAACCCCTAGTAATTTAATAGCTAGATCGTGAATTTTGCTAAGAATAAACAACCTTTACCTCACCTTCAGCTTGACCATCTCATAGCTGGTTGCTGAGGAAGACACTCTGTGCTTTATTTTATTTTTTTAATGTGCATTGGTGTTTTGCCTATGTGCTTATGTGAGTGTGTCAGCTCCCCTGGAACTGGAGTTACAGGTAGGTATGAGCTGCTATGTGGGTGTTGGGAATCTCAGCCATCTCTTCAGCCCTTCTTCACCACAATACACAGTGTCTCTGTATGTAGCCTTGGCTGTCCTGGAACTCCCTGGTGCTGGGGTTAAAGGTGTGCGCCACCATTGCCCACATTTTCTGGGCTTTCAAGTTGAACGAGCAGCTTTTCTCATCCCTGATCACTTTGGTTGTTCTCACCCAGATCAAAGGATGGAGTAAAGACACTGCTCCCTAAAACCCACTTTCACTTACTGGGCTTCCTTCCTTTCAAGAGCCCATTTTCCCATGACAGAAACAAGGCAACTAAAAGCAGTTTTAAGGTTTCTTTGTTCTCATTTGAATTCTAAGCAAGGGTCTTGAGAAAATTATGTACCTTTGTCTCTTATGAGCAGAGAGGACTTGAGTCTTCACCTGATGGTTTTATAATCTATGCGTGCTAACGATCTGACCCTTCTGTTGTCAGACCCATCTTACTACACCTGTGAACTGGGTTGGCTGTACAATTGCTCTGAGCACAAATGTAACATTAGGTACCAGTTAAAAACCGGCTTCTCCAATTCTTGCCTTCCCATATACACAGCTACCTAATAGCTGTGTCACCTTTAGTGAAAAGTTCACAAGAACAAGCTCACCGTAATGCCAATACTTGGGAGGCTTGAGGTAGGACTACCAGATCAGAGTTGTCAAAAAGAACAGGAGGGAGAGATTTGGTTTCCAAAATTACAAGATTTACACTGTCATGAGAAATAGTCCTCTAAACAAACTTGGGAATCCAGTGTATTCATAGTCTTTACTTTTTTTAAATGTTCAGTCAGAAGAGTTGCTTTGCTCCTTTCACAGTGTGCTTGATGATTCAGCACTACAGTACCTGTACCAATGAGGTGCTAGCTCGTGTGCATCTGCATCCTGAATGCAATTTAAATGCATGTGTGCTCTCACCTCCCTCCCTTGCTTGCCCAGGCTGGTCTCACAAGAGATCCCCGAGTAAATGAGGTGCAGACACACTCATGTGCCATTTATCACATTACAAACTCAGCCAATACTAAGGGGAGAGTACTTACTTTAAAACTCCCTTTACAAAGGAAGGGAAGGGTTGGGATTATTAAACATCACTTTTATCCTTATGCTGACATTTGGATAACATATAAAAGACATTATTAAAGGAAAACTTTTAAAAGAAACACTGGACTGAAATCTTGACCAAATCTGAATTATGCTTGTGTTCTCTAATAACTCCATCAAGAAAAAGAACTGTGTGGTTAAAAGATTTTTATAGTAGTTTATATTTGCACACAAATTCTGCCACAGTATTCAGTGCCACCAAACTAAAATTTTTGACTTTTTCACTAAAAATGAAAAACCCATCTGTTATCTGTTCCCAGAAAAAAAAAGACTGTTCTAAGAAATAAGGTGATTTAGTCAGATAAGAACTGACATTTGAAAGATAGTCTTTCCAAGCTGCCAATTCATCAAATGGAGACCACTCCAGGAATATGGTAGGACCAAAGAATACGAGGAGACCCAGCAGAACTACCACCATGAACAACTGGTAGGAGCTCCAGGGAATCTTGCTAATGAACACGCCTGTGTCTTGAGGCAAAGAAAGTTTATCCACATCGACTAGTTTAATGTCTTCCCACTGACTGGTATCAAAGTTCTTCATTAAAGGGCTTGTGGGTAAATTAGAGGGTGGCAAAGGTGTTTCCTTGATTACTTTGATTTTCTCCCTGAACTCCTGCATCTGTTGCAAAAATATAATAGGTTCTGACACATCTTTAAAAGCCTCCGCAATGTTAAAGGCCATCCGCTGCTCCTGTAAAATAGTGTTGAGCTTGTTGATCTCTGGGTCATAGGCTTGCATAACTGCAAGTTTCATAGTCTCAAAGTCAGACAGGATTTCATTCTTCTTTTGATCTAATGTGTGTTGTAACTTCTCAAAAAACTCCTTTACTTTGTCTGAATCTTTAGTGAGTAACTGTAGGGATTTCCTTTTGTTTGTTTCCAAAGTGTCCAAGCGGGAAAGAGCATCTCCCCGGCGCCAAGTCTCAAAACTCTGAAAGAGGGACTCAAAGGCACCCCTTTCCTGAGCATAGGCATCTTCAATAGAAGAGAAGACATGCTTAGTGTGGTCGCCACAAGTAGCACAGATCCCACAAATCAGCTGCATATCAGTTACACAGAAAATGTTGAGAGGCTGTCCCAAGTGTCCTTTGCACACTGGCATTTTAGGAGAAATCTTGATTTTGTTATATTTCTCCACAATACCCTTAAGGGAGTAATTAACTTGTAGACTGTTGACTCCAGTTGCTGAAGTTTCCTTACGGCAAGTAGGACATTTGAATGGAGATGGTCTCCACAATGAATTCCGCACATTCCCCTCTAAGAGCCCTTCTAAACATTTTTTGCAGAAGTTGTGTGAGCAGGGCAAAACTCGGGGATCATCAAACAAACTGCAACAAATTGGGCACGTGAGGTCTTCCTCAAGCAGCTCCATCACATCCTGCCAGAGAAAGAAACATTTAGCTCTGGGAAGCCTCTATAATAATTGTAAGATACCATCTTCCCAATAGTCATCTGCTGACATAATCAAAGCATACAGGGAAGAAATGTGGGGAAGGCATGCATACTAACACATAGTTAACTCTGGAACAAGAAGACACTCCTGTATTCAAGGCCTTTGTGAGGGCTTTCCAACACCAGCCTTTGCTAAAACAGGGTTAGGACTAGGACAACTGCAAACTGAGCCAACAGGACCTAACATTGTTTTAAACAGAGCTGACTGCTAGATGTCAGAAACAAAGAGTCTAGTGTCTGTAACAGAATGGGCTCTTTACTCTGGGCCCACAAGTATGAAATGGTATGCTACTTAAAGATGGAATAAGCATACAACATAAATCCAAGCATGGACTCTAATCCAACTCTTACTAGAAATTGGCATATTTTCCTATTTCAAAGGCACAATTACAATTATTTAAGAGAATCATAGTTTAAAAAGCAAAACAGTAATTCAACCTTGCCTAGGTAGATTTTTGATGTTTGGAGGGACTTTTTTTTAAATTGGTGGTTTTCAAACAATCAAATTCGTCCTACATCCTTTATCCTATGGTAGTAATCCTCTCTATAAGGAGCAAAACCTAAATGTCCCTCGTTCAGAGAACTGGTGAAGACAAAGGCATTTTCATAACCATGTGCCTGCCATGCTGACTGATATCTGCACCAACTCTGTCAAAGCAAAACAAAACAAAAGTAACAGAGACAAACAGGCTCACAATAAATGTGATCTCATTACTACAATATGATAAATACACACACACACACACACACACACACACACACACACTATTTGTTGAGGTTTGGCACAGTATTGAAGAAGAGCAAGGTATCTAAAAGAGCTACTACAACACTACCTCCTTTACCAATCACAAATCCGTGTAATGCCAATTTTGAATATGTCAACCAAAATCATTAGAACAGTTGTTTTCAATAAAATAAACATCCAGGGCTGGGAATATGGCTCAAAAGTACACTTGACACGTACTAGGCCTGGGCTAGTCATTAGGGCAGACCCCTGAAGCTGTCCCACAAAGACAAAAAGCTATAGATATATAAAGAATGCCACTTTTATCATAACATGTGGGTGGAGGGTATTGCTGAATTATTTGGTAGCATAACAATGATTTTCACCAGTGTTATTTTAAATGAGTTAATATGTTTTAAAGTCCTCAGTTTTCATTTCTAATATAGCAAATAACTAGAATACATACATACACATATATATCATATATATCTCAAAGCTCTTGGGATCCTCAGTCTTTGAGGGTGCTGATCGCTAATGTAGAAAACACTATTTCTCAATGCACCTTAGTCTCTAAAGGCCTAAAACTAAAATCAGCAGTCAGTATTTTTTTTTTTCCTTTCCTTTCTTTTTTTTTTTTTTTTGTTTTTTTTTTTTTGTTGTTTGTTTGTTTGTTTTTTTTTTTGGAGTTTTTTTTTTTTTTGGTTTTGCTTTTGTTTTGTTTTGTTTTTCCAGACAGGGTTTCTCTGTATAGCCCTAGCTGTACTAGAACTCTATAAACCAGGCTGGCCTCGGAACTCAGAGAGATCTGCCTGCCTCTGTCTCCCAAGTGCTGAGATTGAAGGCGTGTGTCATCATCTCCCTGCTAGTCAGTATTTCTTTATTCAGGTTACTTAGGGATACATAATACTACCAAAATAATAAAATAGGACAGAACATGCTGTACTCTACGGCCATCAGATAATAATCTGGGATTTGAGGTAGGGACATGCTGAGCAGAGTCTATCACTGAGCTCCATGCATGCTCAGCCTCAGTAACTCTCCCTGTGGTATGTGTGCAGGCACACATGCACATGCCTATCAAGGGCCAATGTTGTGGGGTATTTGTACACTGTGTGAAGACACATTGTTGTGATTGATTTAATAAAGATGTAAACAGCCAATAGCTAGGCAGCACTTAGATTACTCACTTAGATTTAAAATGTAAAACAATTTAGATCTGTTCCCATTAGTATGCATCTAAGTATTCTATATATCTTGAGAACAAAAGGATAGGAATGAAATGTAAGTTAAGGGCTCAAAACCACAGTAGCTAACCCCCAACTTCATAAGTAAAAACATGGAGCCCAATTTACTTTGCTGTGCCACCACTAAAGCACAGACTGTTTTCAAAGTTGTAGGATGCAGCACTATCCAGAAAGTCAAGAATTCAGTATCTAACACACCTTTAATCCAATCCCAGCAGTCAAGAATGCAGAGGCAGGCAGATCTATTCAAGGCCAGCATGGTCTATGTAGGGAGTTGTCACAAAAAGGAAAAAAAATGAATAATTTCATATTCTAGAAGCTAAGAGTATGGCAAATGGCACAGCATGTACTTAGAATGTTGATGGTACTGGCTTAGATCTCCAGGCCAAAGCAGCAGGGGAATAATAATTCAGTATCTTTATTCATAAAACAAATTTATTTCATAAACTTATAAAAATCTTCTAAAACTCTATGGCTTTCACAAATAACTGTTTTATCTTTCATATCTTTATATTACTATCTTCTCTTCATATTTCTAAAAAATAAATACAAATTTCATAAATTTACATAAACCATAATATAAACTTAAACTACACCAGTATACAAATTCTATGGAAATTATAAATATACATTAAGGTGCTATATTAGAAGATGAGAATAGGGCTCAAATGAGTTTAATTCTCCTCGACAATGATTCCAAAGCAAAATCACTGGGCACCAGATACACAGAAGTGTGACCTCACGAGGCCCAAGTATCTGGTCACACATGCACAGGGCACCAGATACACAGAAGCATGACCCCAAGTGACACATGCACAGGCAGGGCTGAGGCTGAGGAAAGCACCTGCATAATGTGAACAATTTCTAGCACCACCAAAAAGTAAGCACACAGATGAAAACAAGACATGCATTATAAAAGGATGCATCCACAATTAAGCCAACTCGTACCAACATAGATAAAGAAATACATAAATTAAGGAAGTACAGGAGGAGGAAGGAGACCTGAAGAAAAGTATCTTCTGGGACTGTCCATGTCTATCACCATAATAAAACCCTGACCAAAAGCAACTAACCACTTCCAGGTCACAACCCATCACTGGTAAGTCAAGGCAGGAACTCAAGGCAAAACTGCCTGTTATTTCACACATTGCCTTCTACCTTGGAACTCACTCACACCCAATAATATACAATAGACACCATCAAAAATCCATGCGGATTGTTGGTTGTGTTCTGGCCCATAAGAGGCTCATGCTTAGCTGGCTTTCTTATGGTGCCTAAGTTAATCTGCCTAGGGATACAGCTGCCCACGTTATGCTGGGCCCTCTCCTATGTGGAGTAAGACAGTCCCTCACAGACATATCCACAGACTAGCCTGAAAAATAATTAGACTGAGGCTGTTTTCAGGTGATCCTAGGCTGTGTCAAACTGATACTGAGTAGTAAGTAGGACAGGGATATACTTCAGGAGTAGAGTACTTGGCTAGCTGGCATATCCCCAAGGTGTCCTGGGTTCTTCCCCCAGCACCAAATAATAATTTTAAAACAAAAATTGTATGAAAGAGGCATAATGTGCCTATAGTGCATCGAGTTCCAAGCAGAACGAATGACTATACAATGGCACTCTGTTTTTAAAGTGCCCAACATGCAAAGGTCGAGAGAGCTGCAGGGAACTAGCCCTTCTACTGACCAAGTATCTGGACAACTTAGACAAACCCTACAAAAGAAAATGCTGCCGCATCCCTTTTCTTCCTTTACTGCAAGATTGTATTAAATTATGTATAATAATTGCCAAAAAAAGGAACTCTGTTTTGAGTTTTGAAATATGAAAAGAACAAAGACCACCTATCACTGACAGAGGATGGATGTGGACATATTCTCCATAGTCCGATCTGGAATGGTCACAAGACTAATAAAATCTGACATTTTTCCCGTAAATACTAGAACATAAAGGAAAATACTTAATATTTACCTCTGACCCTGGCAAGCAGGTGCTTTCGGCAAGGTTACTATTTTCTCCGGAAAAGCCGGTTTTTGTTTTTTCTCCCACGTTTTGACGGTAAAACTAGAGAATGCTGTAGAGAAAGAAGAAAGGATGCTATACACAGAGATCTACATTGTTAACCCTCCATTTAAAAACAATTTTTTTTCTATCGACCCCTCCCAACAACACCCCCAAAAAAGCCAGCTCGCGGTGCCTTAGCTTCCTAACCAGGATGCCTCCCCAGCGGCGCCGAACCTTCCTGGCGGCCACGCTGCGCTGCCGGCCTCCGCCCACGGAGGTGTCCGTGGCTGTGGGCGCCCGGGCTCAAGGAAACCAGCGGTCTCCGAGCGCCGCTCACCGCTGGCTGTGGCCCCGCAGCAACGCTGCAAAATGGACACGGCGCCACACCCACTGCCGCCCTCCGCCCCGCGCCTGCGCAGCGCCCTGGTCGCCCCGCCACAGGGAAGCGCTCCAAAGACCCAACAGGAGGAGGATTTGGATTGTGGTTTTTGTTGCTGTTCCTTACATTTTGGGCAACATCAAAAACAAAGCCTAGCCCTTCACACCACTTAGCCTGCCATCTCAGGACCCGCGGGCCCAACTGTAGAAAAAGCACCACTGTCGTTCCCCTCGGAGGCAAGAAAGAACTTTTATTTGTAAGTATCTGTAGGTAGCAACTGCCAGGACTATTTTGATGTTCACCTCCAGTGTGGGGACATCATTGTGGTTACAAAGAATTGAGGGGAAAAAAAAAAAAAAAAAATGGCTCCCATCCAAACTTGAAAGCCTAAGGAAATGAGGTAATGTAGGGTGAGTGTGCCAGAGGAGCACGTCCACTCCTGCTTAGGCTTTTAGGAGGGCAAATTTGGAAAAAGTGCGTTTTCGAGTCAATAAAAAGGCCCTCTTCACGCCCACGGTTATGTGGATTCCCGGCTGCACCATGTGGCAGAACAATCCCTATAATTTCTAGTTTAGTCCTCATAAGAGTACTGTATAGTGCAATCAAGAGCTTTTTTTTTTGGGGGGGGGTGATGTTCGAGCCAGGGTTTCTCTGTGGCTTTGGAGCCTGTCCTGGAACTAGCTCTGTAGACCGGGATTGGCCTCGAACTCATAGAGATCCACCTGCAAGAGCTTATTCTTTAAAAGAACATTTTCTACAAGGCAGAAAAAACAAGAGGCAGCTCAGAGAACATCAAATTCCACGCACACGTCTTTTCCACAGTAGGAAAAATGCCAGTGCAAAAAGAAAACTTCAATCCCAGACCAGCACAAAATTAGTGTCCCTACACATATGGTGGCAGCAGGGCATAGTGGCGCATGCCTTAGATCCCAGCCAGGGCTTGGAGCCAAAGGTGGGACATCTGAGTTTGAGGCCATCTTGGTCTACATAGTGAGTTCCAGGACAGCCAGAGCTAAAGTCTCAAAAAACCCTGTCTCAAACACAAAACAAAAGGCTGAATGAGGCTGAGGGTGTGGCTCAGTGATAGAGTGCTTCCCCAGATTTCAGGCCCTGAACTGATCTCCTGAATGACAATAAGAACACTGAATGATAGATATAATGAGGTAAGATATAAATACCATGTTAAAAACTATAATATATCATGTAATAATATACAGCCATTAAAAAGAATGTAAAGGGCCCGTGAGGTGACTGCCACTAAGGATGGAGACCTGAGTCCATTCCGCGGAAACCACAGTATGAACCGATTATTAAAAGTGGTCTTCTGACCTCCACGCTTGTGCAATGACATTTGCATGACCACACTCATGCACACATTAGTGTTCATTGTATTTAAATAAAGAAAAAGGCATAGCTCCACGAATCGGAGATAGATGAGACAGTGAAGATCCACGTTAAAAGCTATACTGTAATTCCAGTTTTGAAATGTACAAACTGTGATGTCCACTGGGAGTCAGGGAATGTGAACAAGCGTCCTGAGAAAGGAAGGGCACCAGACTAACAGACTCATTAGCACCCCAGTGAGGACAGAAAGGTGGAAACGAAACGCTGCAGGTCTAGAGACAGTCAGCATCTTCCTCACCCTCAAAGCCATCCCTGCTCACCCTGTCTGCTCCTCAGCCAACATCCTGTGCCTAAAAGATAAAACTGGAATGTTAACAAACCCTAATTTCCACCAAACAAATGGCTAAGAATGGTATCACACAGATTATGAGGCTTGACCTGAGAGTTTCTCTGCTGTACTGTAACCATCTAATATTTCCACAAATATATTTGAAAAGTACCTTGATGTCCTTGGTCTATTACTGTAAAACCTTCATCAAATTGTTACCATATTAAAATATGGAATTTTAGGTAATCTATGTTTCAAGGCCAGGGCTACTAATATGTAGCTCCGAAATAAACTCTTAGCCCCTTTAAGGTAGAGTCTTACTTTTTGTGTCAACAATTCATAAGGTGGAAATTGATCAAGAAAGGCACCCCACATCAACCTCTGGCCTCCACATGTACACATAGGCACATGGACACACAGACACATAAATACACATATGTGCACGCACACACACTCTAAGGCAACATTCTCCCAACCTTGCAAAGTCATAGAGGGGTATCCTTGACACATTTAAATAAACAGAATTCCATAGAACTTGGAGTCAGAAGATCTTCAGTGGAGATCTTGGAATAGATATTTTAAAATAATGACAATTATCCTTAAATTCCTGTAAGTTTGAGTTTCACTAGGTTAGAACGTAACAAAAAGAAATAAGCATGGCCATATGAAACTCTGTGGTCTGGCTCAGAAGAAAAGGCCTTCCTATAACTCCATGCTGGGATCTCAGCCTAGCCCTGGGGTTTCACGTCATCTTGGCACCTGCCAGCTATACTTATCTCCTGAGAAAAATTGGGCCCCACAAAGAGACCTGTTGCCAAATTACATGGTGGAGGAAGAGGGGAAAAAAAAAATGCTTTCCATTCCCAGTATTTTTCAAAGAGGAAGTTCTTAGTTCTTAACTACCATATTTACTAACTAGCCAACAGCAACAGTTACAACACAGCTATGACTTGTCCACACCATCTGCTTCTTTCTTGTCCTGCAGCTGTGGGTGAACCCATGAGAGCAGCCAGCACTTAGTCTTCAAGAGTGGCCATGCTACCAGTTTCCCATAGGCGGAGTCCAGCTAGCACCGTGGCTTTTGTCTGCCATTCTCTTTCATTCAGTCCTAATGGAGTGAGTTAGAGTCAGGACCCAGTCTTTAAACAAAGCAAGATGAGCCCTGACAGAGACTTTCACCAGCAAGCCACCCTGTGACACAGCACAGCCTTCCAGTTAATCACAATGATCCTACCTTTGGGAGACGCAAATTTCACAGAATAGGAAAGTAACAGGCCAAGTATCTCTCTGCCTCTGAGAGATCCACTTCCCTGATTCCTTGGGATATTTGCACACTCTATCAACAGTTTCTTGTGTTAAGAAATAGAATTTAACCAAGTCGGTCAGTTTCAGTATAGAAGCAATCCTCTGAATGATCATGGTCTTCATCTTCAATCTGGAAGGAGAAATGTGCTTTCTGCAGCTGTAGCACTCGGCTCTGGTCTCTGAAACCTCTTATAAAGAAGAAACACTTCCAAAAGAAGCAGCCAAGTCCACAGAGCCAGGACCCAAGTGCATCGAGCTGATAGCACATGGAAAATGGCACCTGGAGCCAGCTTTGCACTGCAGTAAGAGCAGCCTTCAAGTCAGCCCAGAGGAAGCTGAAGATGTCCTAGAAGGTCAGGGTTGGTTGGAGCCTTAATCTGTAGTGATATAATGTTTTTGCTATAACAAATAAAGCTTGCCTGAAGATCAGCGAACAAAGCTAGCCACATTAGTTAGCCACAGAGGCCAGGCAGTGGTGGCATACACCTTTAATCTCAGCACTCAGGAGAGAGAGGCAGAGGGATCTCTGTTAGTTCAGAGGGATCTCTGTTAGTTCAAAGCCACCCTGGGCTACACAAGAGTGAATCTGTCTAAAAGAGAAACAGAGCTCACACAAAGGTGATCCCAGCACTTGGGACGACATGCCTTTAATCTCAGTACTAGGGAGATGGAGACAGGAGTGATATAGCAGGGCAGAGAGAGGATTATAAGGCAGGAGCTCAGGGGCAGTCTGAATTTTCAAAGAGAGGAGTTAGTCTGGGGATTCCCAGAGACAGAAGCAGTTTGAGGATTCCTAGGGACAGGATCACCCTTTTGGTCTGAGCATTGGTAGAGTTAAGAACTCTAATGGCCACTCTGCTTCTCTGATCCTTCAGCTTTCACCCCCTGATAGCTGACTCCAAGTTTTTATTATTAAGACCAATTAGAATTCATGCTACATTAATCTTCTAATTTAGGTTCTCTCCCAGGAAGAATAGTTTAAAGTCACAACCTGTGTTTTTTCTTTTTTTGTTTAATGCATTCCCTTGAAAACAAATCACACACAGGCTAGCACTCCAGTCTCAGTGCTGTACATTGTCACACAGAGTGCTGGTTTTGTTTGTTTTTGTCAACTTGACACAAGCTAACTGGGAAGAGGAACCTCACCTCAGAAGGTCTTATCAGAGTGTTTGTAGGCAAGCCTGTATATATTTTCCTCATTGATGAGCCAGTGGTCCTGCGTGCTAAAACAGAGCAGGCTGAGCAAGCTATGAGGTGCAAACCACTAAGTAGCATCCCTCCATGGCCTCTGCATCAGTTTCTGTCTGAGTTCCTGTGATGTGGAAGTATAAACTGAAACAAACCCTTTCCTTCCCACATTGCTTTTGGTCATGGTGTTTATCACAACAATAGAAAGTAACTAGAACACACAATTAGGGATTTGGGTTTTTGTTGTGGTGGTGACTTGAAAGAAAATGGTCCCTAGAGGCCCATTGGGAGCAGCACTATGAGGAGGTGACACACAGTTGCTTCTGCTGCCTGCAGTTCAAGATATAGAACACATTCTCCAGCACCACGTCTGCCTGCATGCTGCATGCTCCCCACCATGATGATGATGGACTAAGCTGAAGGCCAACACCAATTTAATGTTAAGAGTTGCCGTGGTCATGGTCTCT